ATGGAGAGTGTCAAAGAATGTATTGTTCTGGAATAAAAAGGGATATCCTTTTATTTCAGCTTTATCAAAGGCAAGATTATGAGAATCTCAAGACAACGCCTGTGATCTAAGCAGATGCCTCCCTCTAGTGGGGATGTTTGATAAAGCAAAACATATCTGGTGCAAAAGTCTTATTCCATTCTGGCTGCTATAGGGAATGTCCTAGAATGGGTAATTTATAAACAACAGAGATTGCTCACACTTCTAGAGGGTAGGCAGTCCAAAAATCAAGCTGCGGTTTGACTTGGTGCTTGATGAAGACTTGTTTCCTGCTTTGAAGATGACACCTTCTTGCTGGATCTTCACATAGTAAAAAGGGCCTTTTTTACTTACCATCAAGCCTCTTTTATAAGTTTATTAATCCCATTCATGAGGGCAGAAGCCTCATAACCTAAGCAACTCCCCAAGACCAGAACTCTTAACACTGTAACATTGGGGATTTAGTTTACTGTGGGGGCACAAAACATTCAAACTATAGCATTGTTTCTTAAATAAATTGTAATCGTTGTAGGGAAAATTTTTTGTGTGCTTCATTGGAAAACCATGCATTATTCAGAGCACAATTTGTTACCTTATTCTGATTATTTGGATTATACTAGGGTTCTCAAGAGAAACAGAGCATATAAACGTAAATTTATTTTTTATCCTGAGAATTGAACCCAGGGGCACTTAACCAATGAGCCACATCAATAGACTATTTTTGTTATTTTGAGTCAGGGTCTTGCTAAGTTGCTTAAGGCCTTGCTAAGTTGCTGACGCTGGCCTCAAACTTGTAATCTTTCTGCTTCAGTCACCTGAGTTGATGAGATTCCAGGTGTGTGCCATCACACCTGGCTCTATATCATTATTTTTTCGTTTTCATGGTGCTGGGGATTGAACCCAGGGCCTTGAGTGTGTGAGGCCAGCACTCTACCAACTGAGCTATATCCCTAGCTGTCTATATTATTTTTTTTAAATAAGAAATTGGCTTACACAATTATTTGCTCATCTGGTGGAGTGTTGTCGCTTGGCCTCTGCCACCCTGGGATCCATTGCCTTGACCTTTTCCAACTTAGTGATTGTAGTTCTTGTAAGATCTGGACTACAGAGAAGAATGCTGATAGAGCCCTTCAAGTCTGCTGGGGCTCCTAATAGGTTTATTTCTCACAGGTTCTGTGAAATGTATGTCTTTTGGGCCCTGGGTAAGCACTTCTCAAATGACAAATCTACTCTCCCCAACATTTCAAACCAATCTTCCTAAGCCTTCAAATTCTAAACCAAGGCAAGGATGCCATTTTTACCTTGTTTACTGTGGATAACATGTATTTTTTAAAAATACTTTTTAGTTATAGACACAATATCTTTATTTTCCTTACTTATTTTTATGGGCCGATTAAGATTGAATTCAGTGCCTCACATGTTCGAGGCAAGCACTCTGCCACTGAGCCACAACCCCAGGCCTGGATAATCTCCTGATCTATGTTTTAGCTAACCAATCAACCAAACTGTTAAACACTTTTTCATTCTTCAAGATACACCTTTAAAAGCACATTCTCTGCTTAGTGAGCCCAAATAAATTCAGTCTGGTCGAATTTCATGTTCTTTTCCCATTTTTCTACATACTAGTAGTATCTATTCCTACAAATGTTCCTCAGATTTTGGTCTCTATAAATCAAGTAGATATTTTATAGTGTTGTATCCCTCATTATGGGTAAATGTCATACATATGTGCATATATATATATGTAGGCATACACACACATATATGACTCACAAAACCCAAAAGGAAAAAAAACCCACAACCTGATGGAAAAATGGGCAGTTGATCTGAATAGTCATTTTCCCAAAGAAGACATCAAAATGGTTAACATTTGTAAAATGCTCAATATCACTGATCCTCAAGGAAATGCAAATGAAAACCATAATGACATATCCCCTCCCATCTGTCAGGATGTTGGGATAGCTATTATCCAAAAGATGAGTGATGGCAAGCATTGGGGAGTGTGTGGACAAAAGTGAATCCTTATACACTATGGTAGGAATGTAAACCAATAGGGCCATTATGGAAAACATTATGAAGTTTCTTCAAAATACTTAAAATAGAATGACCATATCATCCCATAGTTCCTCTTCTGGGTATACACCCCCCCCACCACACACACATGCAATCAGTGTTCGAGGGGGTGGGGAGAGAGACCTGCACTCATATGCATTGAGGCACTATTCACAATATTCAAGATACAGAAACATTAATGTCCGTCAATAGGTGAGTAGTTACAGAAAATGTGGGATATACACAATGGACTTTATTTAGCTTTAACAAAGAACGAGATCATAGCACTTGCAACAACATGTATGAACCTGGAGGACATCATGCTAAGAGAAATAAGAAGACACAGGAAGACAAATAGGGCATCATATCACTTATGTGTGAATTCTAAAAATCTTAGAGATATGAAAAGTGAGGCTAGAATGCCGGGTACCCAATTTAGAGATGTAGGGGACATGGGGAGATATGAGTTAAAGTGTCTAGAGAAATAATGTACAGCATAATGACTATAGTTAATTCCATTGTATTATATAGTGGGAATATTCCAGAAGTGTGGCTTTCGGGTGCCCTCAACACATGCATGTGCACACACGTGTATGCACATGCACATACAAGGTGACTCTCCCGAGAACTGGATGTGTTAATTTGACCATACTGCTCATTTCAGTAAGCATACGTACAGCAAAGCATCATGCTGCATACCTTTATTTAAAAAAACTAAAAATAACTCAAATAGGTCAAATATTATAACATAAAAGCAAAAGCTATAATCTTCTTGGAAGAAAACATATTTTGAAATTTTCATCACTTTGGATTAGGTAATGGACTGTCAGTTATAACACTAGGAGCACAAGGAACAAAATGAAAAATAGAGAAATTAGACTTCATCAATGTTAAACACTTTTGTGCTCCAGAGGGTGCTATCTTTAAAGAAGAAGACAAACCCACAGAATGGAAGAAAATATTTGCTAATATCTTACCTGACAAGGGAATTATATGCATCATATATAAAGTCAAGAGCAAAAGGCAAAAAATCACAAATGAAAGGCAAAATATTTGAATAGACACTATTCCATGAAAGATATGGAAATAGCCGATAGGTACATGGAAAGACAGTAACTTCATCAATCAGTAGTGAAATGCAAGTCAAGTTCAAAATGAGATAATCTCTAACACTAACTTATATACTCACAATAAAATAACTAGATGATAACATGCATAGCCAAGGATGTGGAGAATTGGGAACCCTTACACATTGCTGGTAGGAAGGCATATGGTGTATCTTCTTTGGAAAAGGGTCTGGAAGTTTCTTCAAACCTTTTAACATGGAGTTCCCTATTGCCTAGCAACTAGACTCCTACATACACACCCAAAAGAATTGAAAACTTAGGTCTCTACAGAAATTGGTACAGGAATGTTCAGAGCAACATTATCCATAATAACTCAAATCCAAGAAGTCAAAACAAGTCAAATGTCTATCAACTGATGAATGGATGAACATAATGTATTATACCCATTCAATAGAATATTATTTGGCAAGAAAATATGAATCATATATCAGCCTTCATAAAACATTATGCTAAGTGAAAGAACCAGAAACAAAAACTCACACATTGTATGCTCCTATAAATTATATGAAATATCCAGAATAGGCAAATCCATAATATAAAGTTGCAAGTAGCTGGGCAGGTGAGTGTGGAATGAGTTCTAATTGGCACTGGAGTTGTTTTTGCTTTCATAAATCTTTCCTGAAATTACAGAATGAGGATGGTTCCACAGCCTTGTGAGTATAATAAAACTCACCCCTTTAAAGGGTAACATTTCTGTTGTAGTCATTTTAATAAAAATGAGGCACATTCAACTCTGATTATCACAAAATATTTTATGAAACAGAACATTTTAGCAAAAAATATAAAGAAGAATTTAAGATATCCTCATGTAGACAAAAACTGAGAAGAGTTATTGCTATTAGACCTGTCTTATAAGACAACTAAAGGAAGTCTTCCCGCTGAAGGGACACTGGGTTGATACATGAGAAATCTACATGAAGAAATTAAGGTCACCAGCAAGGGTAACTGCATATGTAACAAGAAAAATTGTAAATACGTGGTTTGTTTATCTCTTTTTCTCCTAATTGATTGAAAAGAGAACTTTTTTAAAAAAGCAAAACATAATTATGTGTTGATAAGCGTAGAGTGCATAACATCAATGTTTATTCATTTAATAACAGCATAAAGGGAAATGACTGACAAAATGATGCTATGTGTCTGAACAAAGACACTACAGTTCTTTCCACCTTTATATGTATCTATAATGTTCCAATTAATGATAAAGAATGGAAGAAATAGAAGTAGACCAATAGAGGATTGAGAGTAGGGATAGGGTAGAGGAGAGGGTAAGAGGAGGCACCTGTACTAAAATGGAGTAAATTAAATTCTATGATGTTTATATATGTCAAAATGAATGTCCAATTATATATGTCCAATTATTATGTATAACTATAGTGGAGTAATAAAAGCATTAAAATAAAATGAAATAAGATATAAAACAACAGCATCATCTTCTGAGAAGTGTTTGTTCAGTTCCTTGGCCCACACCAAGAAAACAATTAATGCAATCAATAAATGGGCCAAGCAAGTGAACAGGCATTTCTCAGAAGATGATGTACAATCAATCAACAAATATATGAAAAAATGTTCAACATCTCTAGCAATTAAAGAAATGCAAATCAAAACTACTCTAAGATTTCTCACTCTAGTCAGAATTTCAGCTATTAAGAATACCAGCAAGGGTGGTGAGTGCGCTAGGACAGTGACGGCTTGAGGTGCCTCGCTGGGGCAGACTTGGCTTTCGAAGCATGAGTGTAAGCTGAGGTTGCCACTGGGCTGGTCTTATGCAGTGCTGGCCACCGGGAACCAGGAGGTGGAGCAAACATGAATGTTGGAGTTGCCCACAGTGAAGTGAATCCAAATACCCGTGTAATGAACAACTGGGGTATGTGGCTGACATATGCATTAGGAGTTGGCTTGCTCCATATTGTCTTTTTATTTATTTATTTATTTATTATTAGTTGTTCAAAACATTACAAAGCTCTTGGCATATCATATTTTATACATTTGATTCAAGTGGATTATGAACTCCCATTTTTACCCCATATACAGATTGCAGAATCATATCAGTTACATGAACTCCCATTTTTACCCCATATACAGATTGCAGAATCATATCAGTTACACATCCACGTTTTTACATACTGCCATACTAGTGTATGCTTCCATATTGTCTTACTCAGCATTCCTTTCTTTAGTGTTCCTATTGCTTGGACCTTAACAAATATTATACATAATCTGGGGATGTATGTATTTTTGCATGCAGTAAAAGGAACACCTTTTGAAACTCCTGACCAAGGTAAAGCAAGGCTCCTAACATCTTCATGGAAGTTTTTCACAATTTCTCCAACAATTCTATATTTTCTGACAAGTTTCTAAACAAAGTATGATTCAACTTACTTCATCCTAACACAGCTTCTCTTCTGAGTGTGCTTATTCCCCAAATGCCACAACTACATGATGTTCGGATCTTTGGAATTAATAGGTATTGAAATGTTTCAAACTGAACAAAATTTTTACAGCTACCGAGTTTCCTGTAAAGAAGGAGTAGTTGGTAAACTGTACGGTTTCTGTGATAATGTGAAATGAGAGGTATCTACATCAGAGGACCACTTGCTGTTTCTTCATATGCTGTCTTGAAGTACAGAATTCTACTAAATGATGCCTCTGTTTAATACATCTGGTATATTTTGGAAGAAAGGCTTTATAGGCAGGCTGGGCAGGCCCAGTGTATAAGTTAATTGCAGTACAGTAAAGGTATAGTAGATAAATCCAAGGAAGTAATACATTTGTAAGAAACTAGGGCCAGCTTAATTATAATGATGGGCATGACATGAGGAAAAGAAAATTTCCAGTCTTTCAGTGACAATTAGTTTAGGCAGACTTAACATGTAAATCGGAATCATCTCTATAAGTTTATTATAGATTACTTTTATTACCATATATATTTCTCTTATATAAGAGGATATATACCTTCTTCTTTTGTACAAACCAGTTTCTTATGAGTTATCTTATGAGTGTGGGGTTTTTTGTTTTTGTTTTTTGCTGGCTCAGTGTTATGTGTTGATAGATGAAATTATTTTTGCATTTATTATATTATATAGTTTGTGAAGGTCCACCTTCATGAATGGAAGATAGCATCTGAGTCAGCATTCTAATTTTGGAAAAAATAGATTTACTTGGTTTTCCAGACACAAGGCTGCTAATAAACCAATTAAGAAAATAATTTATTTCAAGAAGTTAAAGTACAGGGTTGTTTATAGGTGCCTGCTTTTTTTTTTTTGAGAGAGAGAGAGAGAGAGAGAGAGAGAGAGAGAATTTTTTAATATTTATTTTTTACTTTTCAGTGGACACAACATCTTTATTTATTTTTATTTTTTTATGTGGTGCTGAGGATCGAGCCCAGCACCCCATGCATGCTAGGCGAGTGCGCTACCGCTTGAGCCACATCCCCAGCCCAGGTACCTGCTTTTTAGGTTAAGAAACTTAATTGGTAAAATCTGTCATTCCTTAGAAAAGTAAATATAAAATGGACAGCTACATAGCTACCTGTGGTCTAGCAGTAACTGCTTCTCTAGCCATAGTACCAAAGTAAGTAATAGATATTTTGTTTTAGCAGGTCTGTAGTCAAAGATAAGATTGTCTTTCCTTAATTCTGTTCTCAACTCCCATAGTTTGCTTGTTAATATTTTGACTTTAAACATGTGAGTCTTAGTATAGGTAACTCCAAATGGTAACTATTTAGAGTAGTGGTTATATTGAATTCTTGTGATTTAGGCAAGTTACCTAAAGTTGCTAACATTAATTGCAAGAAAAAAAAAAAACTATACTTGAGAAGGGATCACATTAAAAAAAAAAACAACAAAAAACCCACAAAAAACCAAAGTTCTGATATATGATGAAACTGAAAAACTGAGTAATATATATAAACAAACTGAATGAAAGGGGTTTTTGACCAACTTAAAGATCAAGTTCTGTCAACAAACTGACTTTTCAGGGTAGTTATCATTGTTTTGTACTTCAAAAGTATTGAGGTTAGAAATCAGTTTTATGTTACTGCCTTTGTATATTTGTCTTTCTCATGTATTTTGAAATAACTGGTAATCTATACTTTAATAAATTTTTTTCCTTGGTGGAAGATTAAAAAAAAAAAGAATACAAGCAATAGGGCTGGGGTTGTGGTTAGCAGTAGAGTGCCTGCCTAGCATGTGTGAGGTCCTGGGTTTGATCCTCAGCACCACATAAAAATAAATAAAAATAAAGGCATTGTGTTCAACTACAACTAAAAAATAAATATTTTAAAAAAAGAATACAAGCAACAATAAGTTTTGGCTAGGATGTGGGGAAAAAGGCACATTCATACGTTGCTGGTGGGACTGTAAATTGGTGCAGCCCACATGGAAAGCAGTTTGGAGATTCCTTGGAATACTGGGAATGGAACCACCATTTGACCCAGATATCCAACTCCTTGATCTATGCCCAAAGGACTTAAAAACAGCATACTACAGGGATGCAATCACCTCAGTATTTATAGCAGCACAATTCATAATAGCTAAACTGTGGAACCAACTTAGATGCTCTTCAGTAGATGAATGGATAAAGAAAATGTGGTATATGTACACAATGGAATATTACTCAGCATTAAAAGTGAATAAAATCATGGAATTTGCAGGTAAATGGATGGAGTTGGAGAATGTAATGCTACGTGAAGTTAGACAATCCCCCAAAAAACAAATGCCAAATGTTTTCTCTGATATAAGGATGCTGATTCATATTGGGGTTGGAGGGGAGCATGGGAGGATTAGATGAATTGTAGATAGAGCAAAGGGGAAGGAAGAGAAAAGAGAGGGCTTGGGGGTAGGAAAGATGGTGAAATGACGTGGACATCATTACTCTAAGTACATGTATGAAGACACAAATGGTGTGACTACTTTGTGTACAACCAGAGATATGAAAAATTGTGCTCTATATGTGTAATATGGAGTGTAATGCATTCGGCTGTCACACATAACAAGTTAAAATAAAAATAGTAACATATTTGAAATTATAGCATATAAGAAGAAGATCTATATCTATCTACATCTATAAATAGAAATATCTCCATGTACTCTATCTATATCTATAGATAAACAGATGACGGGTTTCTGTTCTTGCAACTAAAAGGCACAGGGTTTACTCCAGTTGAACTGGGCTGACTGGGATGCACAAAATAATCACACAAGAGACACAAATACCTTTTTCTTTGGGGTCCCTGTGACGGCTCCTCTGACCTTAAGGGTCTGCAGGAAGAGACAGCGCAAGACTACGTGCTGACCCCTTTTATTGAGGAGAAGCTATTCAAAAGAGTCAAGGGGTCAGGTTTCAGGGGGCTGAGACTATCTTCATGATGTCCATTGTCAGCAGGTTGACTGACACCTGGGTAGGCCACACCCAAGGGCACAGTAAGAGGAGGGGACACACACAAGGCACTTCCATGGAAGATTCTATCCTAAACAGGGCAAGGGGTTATATACAAAGGAACAGGTGAGCTTAGCTTCACCCATGGGGCTGTAGCAAGACACACCCATGCAAGACACACCCATGCACGACACACCCACCCTCAAACCCAAGAAGGGTGGGGAAAGCTCTGTGGCTGAGCGCCTCAGCACCCAGCCGGGAGTGTGACTCAGTCAAGTGCAAGGTTGGTCTCCCACAAATAGAGATTTTTATTTATGGAATAAGTCAATGAAATACCAACAAATAAAACAATTAATAACAACAACAACAACAACAACAAACCTCAACAGTATAAAGAAAAGTTGTATGGAGCAAATATTTTGTTTCTCATTGAGTAATCTATAACAAGTGAAGATACTAAATTCATAATAAAAACATTCCTACAAAGCAAAGCTTAGTACAGATAGTTCTACTAACAAATTCTCCCAAACACTAAAAAATAGTAATTTCATTTTCATATATTTTCTTCAGGATAAGAAGAGTGACACTTCCCAATTCATATTATATAAGAAATATTACCCTGGTATTCAAATGAGATTGAATAGTTATAATAAAAGTATACTACAAACTGATATCATTTTACAGATATAGATAAAAAATTTTCAAAAAGTATGAACAATCTGATTCCAGCAACACTATAATAAAATCACAGTTTCACAGTTAATGGGGAAAACTGAAATTTTGCACTTTAGGGTCAAGATAAGAGAAATAAATCTTCTCTGTCCTCTTTAACTTTATACTAAAGGTTTTTGCCAGGATAACTAGGGAAGAATAAAAAATAAAAGATGCCCATATTAAAAAGGTAGGAATATATCTGTCTTTATTCATCAGTCCCTTGATCTTTTACATAGAAAACTGAAGTAATCCACCAAAATGTAAGTTCAGCAAGGTTGCAGGACAGGTTGATAAAGAAAAATAAATTGTACTTATATACAGTAGCAATGAACAATCCAAAATAGAATTAAAACAATGCCATTTATGATAGTATCAATCCACTAATTTTAAAATAGTTTGCCCATTTTCTTTTGAAATTACTTTCTTGGATACTTCTTAAACTTTATTTTTAAACCATTGTGCTGACATTTTCTTTTGATATTGATTTTCTTTTCTTCTTTCCTTCTTTCACAGTACTGGGGGCTGAACCCAGTGGGGCTCTACCATTGAGCTATACCCTCAGATCTTTTTATTTTGAGACTATGTTGCTATGGTTCTTGTTAAGTTAATGGGCTGGCCTTGAACTTGTGATTCTCCTGGTGCACCCATGCCCAGCTTGTATTGACATTTTCATTTCCACTGTTGTGTTTCTAAAAACATTCTAAAAGCCTCTGTTTTGGTTATCCATTTTGTCCTTGTTTCATAGAAACAAATACATTCTATCATCTCTCCAACAAGATGAATATATTTTTGAAGTTTTCCTTCTATCTACATAGCACCAAATAGCATGTGTTTCCTATAAATGTTTTCTTTTTTTTTTTTTGATTATTTTGGTCTATGATTGATGTTTGAGGGTCTTACTGCATATCTGGTGATCCTTGGCTTTTTGGTAATATTTAAAAACAAGTAATGTTAATCTTTGGTTATTTGCTCATAAATAAGTGTAAATAAAGTTTCTTTAGCTTAATCCTAGTGCCAAGAATCTATTTTTTACACACACACACACACACACACACACACACACACCCTGGAGATTGAACCCTGGGTGCTTAACCACTGAACAATATCCCCATCCCTTTTTATATTTTATTTTGAGACAGGGTCTTACTAATTTGCTTAGGGCCTTGCTAATGTGCTGAATCCAGCTTTGAATTTGTAGTCCTCCTGCCTCAGCCTTCTAAGTCACTGGGATTACAAGTGTACACCATCATGCCTGGCTATTATATTTCTTGTGAGTCAAATGGCTGTGATAATTTTTCAAATTATTAATTTAAGATTATTAGTTTTTTATTAGCATTCTGGCAACAGAATAGGAAATAAGGATTTGCAAAGATGATTTCAG